GTGAGCGCCGCGCTCCGCGGCCTCGGCCCCTCGGCACCCCGCCTCCGCCCCTCGGACTCCCGCCCCTCCGCCTCGCCCCCTCCTGCCCCGGTGCGGGTCATTTCGCAACTGCTCGCCGCGTGCCCGGCTGCTTTTCCATTTCCCGGCCCGTCTTCGAGAGTACTTTCCCCGCTGCGTGGGAGAGGGGCTGGACGAGGGGCGGCGGAGCGTCCAGAGGAGAGGAGGAAGCGAGGCCCGCAGGAGGAGGAGGAGGAGGAGGAGGAGGATCGGCGAGCGTGGGCAAGAGACCCCACGCCACCCTTTCTGGCCATCTCCCCTCCCGCCCCGCCCCTGCGCACACTCCCTCGCGGGCGAGCTACTCTCGGACGAGGAAAGTGAGGACGGCCCTGGGTGACAGCGCCACGGGGCCAGTCCCGGGGTTCGCCGCGCGCCTGCTCGCTGCCCGGCCGTCGCGCTCCCAGCCAGGGCACGGCCCAGACCAGGATGGCTTCGACCGCAACCTGCACCAGGTTCACGGACGAGTACCAGCTCTTCGAGGAGCTCGGAAAGTAAGCGCCTTGGGCCGGCATCCGCATGTCCTCTTGCCAGCGAGAGCTGGTCGCCTCGCCCCCGACCCCCGGCCGCCGTCGTCGGGCGAGCGAGTTTGGGAGACCGGAGGAGAGGGAGGGCTCGTCAGCTCTGGGGAAGGTGCTGCCCGGGAGGGGAGGGAGCACAGGAGGGCGAGGACCCCTCGCCCCGACCGCGCGGGTGCAGATAATCCCCAGCTCACCTTCTCGCGCTTCCCCACCCTCCTGCACGGAGAGACAGTGAATTTACGATCTCTGCAGTCGTAGCTGTCATCCCGAGAAGTGTGTGTGTGTGATGTGTTTGGAGAGGAAACGAACCCATGTAAAATGCAACATAGATCATGTTTTCTGTAAATAGAGATGCCTCCTGGTGAGCCGGCGTGTCGGCCGTGTGACCCACGTACGGATGAGAACTCACTGCTTCAGACGGTGCCATATTTATTGATGCCGAAAGTTCAACTTGGCGTAGAGTCTGTTTCGCATCCAGTAGTTGTTCTGTCCAGGAAAAGGCCACCCCACAGAACTCAGCCCCTGCCCTGTCTGCTCGGTTATTCTTTGCACCAGATTATTCGCTCACCACCATTTACGTGTGCATCTTTGCATTCTCTGGGAGGATTTATTTATACAGGCAGCGGAAAAGCCCTCTGGAGACGGGGAGAGCGCTTCCCAAGGGTAGCCTAGCGTTGTGGAAAACCACCTCCCAACCCGCCTGGCAGAACTACTTGGAGATGTTAAGGAAGGAGACAGGAGACCTACTGAGGATCCAGGCAAAGGGACCTGGGGGCCGAGCTGTGTAGCATCAAAGCCAAACTCAATTCTTCTTTCCTCTTTCGCTAGTTTCGACTATTACTTATGAAAGGAGTGCTTTGATGTGTGGTGTTGGTTTATTCAGTTGAATTAAAGGAAGTGTAACTATTTTCAAATGTAATGAAAATTTTATATATATATATATATATATATATATATATAGTCTGTTCTTAAAAGATGGAGAATATGTCGGAAGAGCAGGTTAATTCAGGTCCCCTCCCCCAGCCCAAAACAGGGCATAGAGAAATCACCATACCAAGATTTGTTAGAACAGGCAAATGTGCTCAAGATTTATATTTTAAAGAAAATAATCGCCATGTTTACTTAGTTGGAGCCACCATTATTTTTTTTCCTACCAAAATAAATAGCCAGCAGATTTTTTTGCTGCTCCTTCTCAGCTCTGTTTTTTGAAGAATTTTTCTCAGAGCATTTGGTGCTATGTGAGTGTGAATTGTAAAATGTTTTCAAATTTCATGTGCAAACAACAGTGGTCATAATTGGCAGTTGTTTTTATTTTGTTGATTAATAATGTGTATTCCCAGTTAGATAAAATTTCCTTTTATTCTTCACCATTAAAGAAGGTCTGGGTTTCCAGGAAGTATTGTTCAGTTTTTGGACGTTACTATAGTACACTGATAATCCACTAAAATCAATAAAAATGCTCAGATTTTGTAAGTTTTTAATAGAATATCAGATCTGATTATATTGATGACCTGCTAATTATTGGTTTCCAGGGGGGCATTCTCAGTGGTGAGAAGATGTATGAAAATTCCTACTGGACAAGAATATGCTGCCAAAATTATCAACACCAAAAAGCTTTCTGCTAGGGGTGGGTATCTTCAACCACATATATATGTTAATTTTGTATTTGTCATGTTGATTGTTGGTTCTGTTGTATGTAAATATGTTATGTAGTTACAATTGAATTTTATACTTAGATATCATATTACATATTGAGAGTATTTCCTTCTGGAATGCCTCTTGGTCTGTACATTTTAAAGATAAATGAAGAAATATATTTATTTTATAAATTGTCATTAAAATTCTGTCCTATGAGTAGTAATGTAAATAACTATACTTTAAAGCAAATAATTGTCACTTAAGTGCATTTTGCTTTTAGCTGTAGTGGAAAATAACTTTAGAAGCACCTGGAATGGAAAAATATAAGTCTCACAACTGTCATAATTCCCCTTTGCTTTTGAGGGGAAAAATAGGTCATAGCTCAGTTGAATCATATATTTCAATTGTAGTTACACTTGAACTTAATTTATCAAGGTATATTTAACAGTAATAGCTTTGGGAAGAAAAAATTTATGATTGCTATATTCTAGGAAATTGAGCTTGATTTTGATGTTTCTGTGTCAGTTCAGACCTCCGCAATAAGGCTACACACAGACTCATGTAATGTATTTTACACATGTAGTTTATAGCTACAGAGATAATTCATACTCATAAAATAGCTGTTGACATAAGCAAAAAACTTGGAGGGATCTCACTGCATTTTTTTTATTTTGTTGAACTCATGCAAAAGTACTTGTGCTGAAATGGTAGGCATTCCAGTTATTATGGGCACGTGTCTAAGGTATTTCCTTGGGAATTTATGGTTTGATGAAATACAAGTGAAATTAAAATGAAAAAATACTATAGTGTAATCCTATCTCAGTGACCTGGTTTATTTTAAGTAATGAGAGAAGAAATTCCATTAGGGATAGTTTTTCTCATTTAATATGTCTTTTCAAAAGTGCTTCTTACTAGTATCTTGACTTCGTTGTTTTTGGTCTCTGCCATGATTAGTTTTTCTGTATTTATTGAAAATTATACTTCTAACATATACTTTAGGTAATCTCTTTAGTTTATTCATTTGAATGGGATTTTGTTGCCGTTTTCTTTATCTGATTTTAATATAATTTTGAGGAAAATCCATATACTCAAGTCACCAGCACCATAGAATCATGGTATAAAAACTAAGAGGGAAACATGTTAATCATGTTTCCCTCTTAGTTTTTACTGCACAAGGAGGTTTTAACAATAAAAAGGAATTGCTAAACTGTAAGTGACATTTTAATTTAAAAAAAGAAAAGAAATAAAAAAGAAAATGAACATGTGTAGTCATCTGCTTTCAATCCTTATATTATTTCTTCCTTGTGCTTTGGGCAGTGGTGGGGTTATCACTTCTTTGGGGGGCATGACGACACCTATTCTAAATCTTAGTGGCATTAAATTTTCTCTCAAGTCAGTCTAGTACTTCACGTTTACTAACTTCCTCAATTAAAGGAATCCCTCTTTATGCAGCCCAATTCATGTTCTCTACGTCAGAACAACAAATACACTGTGCCTGATCACATACATTTTACTCTCTTCTGCCTTCAAACTATGAATGTCTTCTCTAGCCTGATGATTTCTACTCCTTGCTCCACCAGTGTTTCTCACCTGCTTATTTCCTGCTTTAAAGAGGCACCTATACCGAAATCCTTCTTGCCCCTTCTGAATTTAATGATTGTAATTATTCTACATTTAGGAAATGTAGCTAGGGTGAAGAGTTAGGAGATATATTTTTTGCTCTTTCTCTGCAGGTTTTTTTTCTTGTGACTTTGGGCAAGTTTCTTAATCTGCTGTATGTTAACCTACTTAAGAGTGAGCTGGATGAACATCACTGGTGCCTGAACCAGAGGCTCTGAGTTTGAATTCTGATTTTCATTCCTACTTAGCTGTGTGAACTTAGGCACTTAACCTGTTTTCTCAGAGCCTCAGTTTTTTCTTCTGTAAAATAGGGGTACTAGTAGAACCCTTCCTTATAGGGTTTTATGTGGAATGAATGACTTAATATAGCATCGGGCAGCATCTGCCTTATAATAAGCACTCAATGAATATTAGCTACTACTATTTACTAATAGAGTTGTTATAATGACCTTATTAGATAACTTTTACGAAAGAACTTGAAACTTCCAAATCCAGTGGTAGCCTTGATTTGACTGTGATAGCTGAATCTTAGCTCTACTACTTAGTGTGGAAATTCGGTTCAATCACTTACCTTTTGTGGATCTCAGGTTCTTCATCATTAACATGGGAAAACATGTTCCTGGGGTCTCATGGGATGTTCTGAGGATTCAGTGAATTTTATGAGAATCACTTCTTAAATGCAATGTGCTGTGTAAATTTTACCTATTGTTATTGATTACCTGAAAAGTTATAGTATTTTTTTCTTCAAAATGCTCAACGACTTTAAACTGTCACACCAATTAGAGCTAGTTATAGGATATTTGTACTTTTGAATGTGTACATTTGCTTAACCTATGCCCGTATTAGATTATAAACTTTTGAAGAAAAAATACTGTGGTTTAATTTTTGATATAACATTCCACAGAATTGAAGACATAAAGGGGACTTAGTACAGAGCGACTTACATCAAATGTGGCTATTAAATCATTTGCAAAGGAGTTAAGTACTGAATTTACTCCTAAAAAATAAGCAAACACTGAAAGTAAAGAAAACCATGAAGTAGTTTAAACCTACTTTAAATCTTCCTTGAAGTAATTTTAATGCATATGTGAAGAACATATGCTTTAAAATTTAAATTCTCAGCTGACTCTGTGGCTCAGCCTGGAATCCCGCGCCTTTGGGAGGCTGAGGTGAGTGGATTGCCTGAGCCCGCGGGTTCGAGACCCACCTGGGCGGCGAGACCTCATCTCTACAATAAATCAAAAAAACCAGCCGGGCGTGGTAGCACATGTCTGTAATTCCAGCTGCTTGGAAGACTGAGGCGGAAGGATCGCCGGAGCCCAGCAGGTCGAGGCTGCGGTGGCCAGGAGCGGCCACTGCACTCCAGTCTGGGTGACAGAGTGAGACTCCAACTCAAAAAAATAAATAAATAAATAAAATAAAATTTTAAATTCTCTTTCAGTAACACTTTTTTCTGAGAATATAAATTATCCAAATAAATAATTTGCATAAAAATTTAAAAGATAATTTATCCAAAGGCAAATATAGAATGCAATACCGAATAGTTTGCTTATTTATTTTTTGTTTTAGGTACTGATTTTTGGGAGCTGCATATGGCAGTTTTTGTGGAACATATATTTTTTTGTGCAAATTTTTGTTTGTATTTGAAATCCCATGCATTTGTAAATTCAAGCCTTAAGACTCTGTTTTAAAGACCAGGCAGGCCCTCCAATTCAACCAATGTTCTTTAAATATAACATTATAACTGAAAAAGAAAGTACCTGTGCTAATAAATCGGACTCCATAAGGGAATTGCCAAAAATTTGGCTACATTCCTGCATAAATTTGCACATCCAACTATCCTGTCACCCAGGCATTTTTCTGTGCCTAGATTTTAATGGATTTCCAGCAGACAGTTTCAGTTGTATTTCCTCTCAGTTGTTAGTCATACACACTATATTTGGGAAACTCAGATCAATTGAAGAATATCTTTTGTGTTAGCATGTATGTGCATAAAACATTCATTATACTATATCGAGCAGGTAGATAAGAGCACTCATAATTTGGCTTCTTTTGAAAATATAAAATAGTGTAGAAACATCTTAAACAGCTGATATTGTAGTTTCTGTCTTTCAAAAAGTTCTTGTTAAATAGAAATTGAGGGCATGCTTTGTAAATCGTGAATAGTGAGAATATAATTTTTGTCTTGTATTTTTACCACAAGAATTAGAAATTATACCATTTTGATCACAATTAGGTTAGTACTTAATGTTAGTTTGCTCCACTGTTTTGATATTCTGTTTATTTTGTCATGTTTATAACTGTAAGCTATTGTCAGATTATATAAAGTCCATGAAGAGCTGTGATTGCAGTTCAGAATCTAGTGGACTGATGGTTCTGATGGCAGATGTCTTTAGAAATAGTACATGTGATTTATTTTGAATTTTGAAGCCTTCTGGTGGTAAAATATTTTATGTTATAGTAATGGCTTCCTGACATTCATCTTCCAATGTATTTCTGGATTACTAGAAATGACTTATCACAGAGTCTGATATTCCAGAAGTCATTGTTTTTGTAACATATATTACAATATAAGCTTGAAACATATATTTTATGATAAGTATATTTTTACATCTACTCCGTTGCTAAAGTTTAAAAATAATTTCATTTTATTTTTCTGTAAAACTTCAGATGTAATACAGCTATTTATATATTATTTGATTTTACTAGTTTTATCAATGCCTAAATTAGTAATATTAGTAGATCACGAGTCAGGACTTTATAAAACTATTTGATCATTTGTACATAATTAAGTTTCAACTATCAAAATCTGAATGTTGTGTATATATATCCCTAAGTTATTTTTTTTGGTGTTATAAAAGGGATGTCAAAACTAACTCTTGCTCCCTTTTTTGGCATCAAGGCAATCAGGAAATTACAGTAATTTCGCAACTTCATGATTACTTGTCTTGAATTGGAAGTAGAATTGAGACTATATAGGTGAATCAAGTTCTGATTATTGATTTGGCAGGTTGGAACAATTTAGACATATTAATGTTTAAGGTTTCTTGGCTACAACAGTGTTTTAAGAAAAAAATTTAGTGAATCATTTTTATTTTTGTATATGTAATCTCCACAACTATTCAGCTATTGGACCCAGAAGTGGTATGTATGTGTTATTCTTTTATTATTTTGTGTCCTTATGTTTAGTGGTATTTATATTCTTTTATTAGACATTTATTTTCTTCTTTTGGTTATGATAATATTATTCAAAACTAGTTAGGAGATAAGAATAATAAAAATGTATATCCACATTTCTGAGAAATAGAAATTCTTTCTGTATTCTAGCATCATGAAATAAGGCATTTAGCCGGGCTCAGTGGCTCAGCC